CGTGATGGCGGGGGAGTTTCCCTCGAGCGGCGTGGTGACACGATCGGAGATGGCGGCCATGGTGGTGTTGATGGTAGCGAGGGAGGATTTGAGGGTGGTCAATGTTCGAAGGATAGTTGCGAGTTCCGGGGTGGTGGTGGTCGAAGTTAGCTGATCCCTACGAGTTCGCGGGCAATGTTGTTGACGGAGTCGGAACGAAGATCAGACATGTTGATGGAAGATAGGGCCACGGTGGGGGAAGAGGGGGTGGATGACGTGGCCGGAGCGGAAGTGGAGGCGGTAGCAGCGGATGTGATAGCGGCAGCGGTGGCGGTGGCAGCGGCAGCGGTGGCGGCGGCAGCGGCAACGGCGTCGGCGGCGACGCGTTGGGAGGTCTTGGTTTGGCGTGGTGGCATGTGGAGATGGGGGGACAATTCCTATTTACAAGAATAGAGCGTCATCAAGTGATTTAGCAATGAAGGTAGCAGAGAATCGCAGAGCAAGATTTTTTTTTATTTTTTTTTTAAACAAGTGCTCCAGTCTATTCGTGGGGAGCAGCACGTGCTGGGAACTGGGCCCAGCGTCCTATATCGAATTGTACAGATCATTGAGACCATTTGAGATCATTTGAGATACCGGGGCCATTACCCGGCTTCGGCTGAGAACAATCTGTGAACACGATGTGATTCAGAAACATGGGGAGGATCATGAATATCTAATGACCTATTAGGTAACTACTCATGCAATAGCCTGCCACTGAGGTCCTACGAATGCTCACAACCCTCAGGATCCCTAACAAACCCTTCTAAGACTTTCCAACACCGTCTTACTCCCTGCTGAGCTCTTCCAGGCCTCATGCCCCCACCCTGCGGGGTTGAATAAATTAATTTGAATTTATTCGAAATTAATTCGAGACTCGAGAGTGTATTTTTCAATAAATACGAAAGCGAAATTTTCAGGAATTTCCAAATGAAAAGAAATAATTAATTCCGAGAAAATCAAATTCTGACGAAATTTATTCGGATTTACGTTCTGAATAAAAAGAGAATTTCGAAAAAGAATTGCGAAAAAGAATTTATCGAATTTCAAGAAAAATCTAGGCTACCAGCCGGGCCGCCCGGGTCCCGGGTGGCCAGCCCGTGCAAGGACCTGGCAAGGTCCCAGCAAAAAAAAATAAAAAATAAAAAAAAAAATAAAAAAAATCCGAAAACAAACTATGTTATGCAGAAAAATAAACTGAACAACTTTTGCCTCAGGGTCACATCGAAATTCTGCACCAAATTTGGAATAAAAAATAAAACTTTTATTTTTTTAATTTTAATTTTTATTTTTTGATTGTTTTTGGCCCGGCCGGGCAAGTGACCCCGGGCCACTCTAATAGCCTAGAGAAAAATTGCAAAAAGGAATTTTAGGAATTAAAATATATGAGGAAATTTAATTAATTTAAATTATTTTTGAATTTTGAAAAGGAAATATGGAAAATTGATTCTAATTTCTAACGTATTTCCAAAAGTACTAAAAGTAGTCTCGAAAAAGAGAAGAAAAGAAAATGCAAGGGACCTGACTGTCCTTCTCTTGCTGGAGTGTATCACAACGCATGCATGGACAATGACTCACACACAAGATGAAGCTCACACATAGTCCAAATGAGATGGAATAGAACCAAGTTGCGCAGCTCAATTAATCATTAACACATTATACAAGAGTATATCGAGATCCAAAGTTCAGCGCCCAACATTATCACGAGTTTCTTTCTTCTGTCTCACGAATGGGGCCTGGCTCAGCCAACGCCACCTTCAGAACTCAAATACAGCGCACAGCAGGTAAGTATCAACCATAGCCAGATCCTGCCCCACTCTCTTGTTCTTCTCTCTCTTGGCTCTCAGTCTTGGCTCTCGAGTCCCACCATACATGCACACTCCTACTACGAAGATCTACTTTGAATGCTACTCACTAAAGACTACTGACTAACCCTTCTACTACTACTAACATGCTGGCGCAGCTATGGCTGCCTCTTGCAAGCCAGCGCCCAGCCTTCCTCCTCCTAGCGCAGCTTCTCCTGCCAGCGCTCACCCAGCAAGCTAACGCACAAGTGCTACAGCACTTCCACGTATCAATGCCACTGGAGAATCTAATGTCAAGGGAGGCTGACCTATTGCTTTATACTGCTGGCCTCCCTTGGCGAGGTCTGCATTGGCCTGTATTGGCACTTCGGGCCTTCCTCAGTCCCAGAGCCATGCATATGTCGTGTCCCAGTATTTTCCCCTCAGGGTCTGCTGCTGCTGCGGCCATCTGGCCTATATTTCGGACTGGGTGTCTGAATCTAGACTCCATATTAGACTTAGACAAAACTAGGAAACTGTCCTTTGACTTTCTTTTGGACAGACACACATTCTACACGAACAGACACTCATACTGCACGAACAAGCACACATACTGCACGTACAGACACACCTGAACAAACATTACTTGCACACCCTCTGGACGAACAGATGCGACCTCCAAATCTAAACATTGCAACTGTTCGTTCAGGGGCACAACTGTGACCTTTGACATTGGCTTTTGGTTAAACCAGGATGTGACTTTTGACCCAGAGAACCTGTCCTTTGATCTGCTTTCACGAGTTGGGCCCTGGCGAGTAACCCCTCTATGCTGCATTTGCCGAACAGGGTCTGAATCGTGTAAAGGCCCTTTTACTCTCGCCGGCCTAATTTCGAAGTCCTATGAGAAACCTTCATCTATCTATGATACTTATTCCTCTTCTTGCTCTTTCATATGCAGACACAATATGAGGTGCAGACTCAATCAACTCCTCTCTTGTGAACGAACGATCTTCACTTGGGTCCTGATAGGCAAATCTTACCTTATATTGTCGCTGGGGTCTGCCTCTACGTCCAGTCTGAAAGGTACTTTCAGCAACAATATTATCCACGTTGTATTTCCCATCCATACTAGGAGKTATYGYTGATCTGCGACTGGGAAACAACTCATTGGKTAYGCAAGGTAAAARCTTYGAAGCGTGGAATATTGGATACGTATGCAGATGCAGAGGAATCTCTATAACATATGAAGGAGTATCCACATCGCCGATTACATTTAGAACTTGCCAAGGTCCTTTGTAGGCTGGTAACAACTTCTGGGAGATGTTTTCTTCGGGAACAAACTCCTTAGACTTAACCAACACTAGATCACCTATAGCAAACTGTGAAGGTCTCCTGTGCTTATTTGCCTGTTCAATCGTYTGATGTTGTGCTTTGATAATGTTTTCTTTTACCTTTTCTATATCCTTTTGATATTGTATAGCAAACTCACTTGTTCCTAGTGGAAGCTTATGCACTTGGTCCGGGTTCAGCCGATCAATAGGCCTGCGCGGACGCCATCCCAGATGCAATTCCATTGGAGTCCTACATGTAGAGAGGTGAACAGRGTTGTTGTAGGCACTAGCAACTTTGGGCAAATGTTCRTCCCAGTCAATCTGGTYRGGACRKATATACATGCGCAGCRTTTGCTGCAAAATCTTATTCATCTGCTCAGTCTGGCCATTTGTCTCAGGGTGTCTTCCTGATGACATAGTTAACTTAGAGCCATAGACATTCATAAGTTGTTGCCATTGTTCACTCGTGAACCGTGTATCTCTGTCACTCACAATTGTCAAGGGATGTCCATAGTTTTTCACCCAATGGTTAAAGAACTCCCGGATCACTAATTCTGTTTTTGCTTCTGCGGGTAATGCTACAAAGACAGCATACTTACTGAATCGGTCGACGATGACCATGACTTGCGTTTTTCCATTCCTGCTTTTTATCTTGGTGTCCATGAAGTCAATGGACACAGAGTCTCCGGAACCTGTTGGAATTGGCAAAGGCTTAAGTAGACCAAGGGGAGGCTGTGTAGTGCTCTTATTTTTTTGCCACACTTGACAACCCTACACATATGCAATGCAGTCTGGTTTCATACGAGGCCAGGTGTAGGAACGCACAAGGTTTGCGTAGGTCTTCTTCCATCCAAAATGGCCTTCAGTGTCGTGACATTCCCCTAAGATCAAACTCTTGATCTCTTCCACATTTGGAATACAAAGCCTATCATGCACGTCAGTTCTTTCAAACAACAGTCCTTGTGTGATACGATAGTTAGGAAACTTTGCGGGCGCTTCTTGTACACGCGTAAGCATAGCGCCATAGACAGGATCAGTGGAATATGCGTTTCTAATTTTTTCTTGCAAATCGGTGCCCACATCCAAATATGTTACAATGGCACCGAAGAAATCTGATCTTCGACTTAATGCGTCGGCGACAACATTATACTTACCCTTGACTAGCTTCAACTCAAAGTGATATTGATCAATCTTCGCGGCCCACCTAGTCAACTTAGGTGTCATCGGGGCCTGCGTTTTGAGCCAGCGAAGTGTCTCATGATCTGGGTACGCTTTGAAGTGGCGTCCTAAGAGGTAGTGTCGCCAATGATCCAAGGCTTCCTGGAGAGCAAACAACTCTCTCTCATACGTAGAAGCGACGACCTTCTCATTAGGCATTCGTCGGGACATGAACTCAACAGGTCTGTATCCGTTTCCATCATCCTGCTGGAGTATAGCGCCTATCCCATACTGACTGGCGTCGGTTGTGACTACAAAGGGCAACGAAGGATCATCAACCTTCAAAACCGGATAATTAATCAAACATTTCTTTAAACGCTTGAACGAAGCTGTACAATCTGAGTTCCACTTCCAGATAGTTTCTTTTTTAAGCAATTTGCGAAGGGGAGCAGCAATTATCGTGAAGTGTCTAACGAACTTCCGATAATAGTTGGCTAACCCAAGGAAAGATCGCAACTCTGTCAAAGTGCAGGGGTTAGGTCAATCACGAATCGCTGCAATCTTTGTGTCTTCCGGTTTAATACCGTCACCATCAAGTACATGCCCTAGATATAAAACCTGACGCTTAGCCCACTCACACTTCTTAGGGTTCAACTTCAGATTTGTCTCACGTAGTTTATTTAGCACAAGTCGAAGGTGCTCACAATGTTCTTTCAGATCTTTACTGAAGATCAAAATATCGTCAAGGTAGATTACGACAAACTTATCAAGCCATTCGCGAAAATGTTCATTCATTGTTCTCTTGAAAGTTGCAGGGGTATTTGTAAGACCAAAGGGCAACACAATAAACTCTAGTGCCCATACCTCGTTCGAAAGGCAGTTTTATATTGGTCTTCCGGCTCTACCTCGATTTGATGGTAGCCAGACTTCAAATCGATCTTAGTGAAGTATTTGCTACCCTGCACTCTATCCAACAAATCGTTAGTTCGGGATAATGGCTCAGCATTCTTAATAGTTATATCATTGAGTCTCCTATAGTCTATACACATGCGGACCCCACCATCTTTCTTTGGCACAAAAAGCACTGGCGCACCATAAGCCGAGGAGCTAGGTCTTATCCATCCATTTTCCAGCATCTCATCAAGCTGGGTTCGCAGTTCATCTAACTCTTTAGGTGACATT